AAGTGACATGAAAGAATAGATTGTACATTTGAGTTGCTATTATTCACCCAGAAAAAAAAAAAAAAAACTATTGACCATACATACCAGTGACTCCAAGGTTAGCAAGATCAAAGATTTACCAGGCCTGGTGACTTCAGCTTAACTGTGGAGAGTTATTGAAGAAGTTCGGTAGGGAGTGACAATTTGCTTTGCATGTGTGAGAGCACTCTTGGGCAAAAGTAGGTCAATATAAATGACTCTATTAGTAAGAAGTTGTTTTGTGTTGCTTTTGATTATTTCACCACAGCAAATGGAATCCTTACATTTTGTTCAGGAAAAGGTGTGGCAGGAGGGGAGGGGAACCAATTGAAAACCCAGTTGACCGTGAACCCACGCAGAGGGTGAGACAGTCAGAGCCTGCTCGTCTCCTCACTACCCTGTTCTAGCTGCAGCCGGATTCGGAGACAGAGCAGTCACACCCCTGGCCTGAAAGGGCTTTTAACACAACCACTGCTCAGGACCAGAGCGAGACATAGTGAAACAAATTATGTGTGTAGGAACCCGATTAGTCTTCGCAAAACGAAGTGATCCCTCTTTTTTTTTTTTTTTTTAAGATTTATCAATTTTTATTGGAAAGGCAGATATACAGAGAGGATGAGAGAGAGGAAAATCTTCTGTCTGATGATTCACTCCCCAAGTGGCCCCAACAGCTGGAGCTGAGCCAGTCTGAAGCCAGGAGCTAGGCACTTTCTCCAGGTCTCCCATGTGGCTGCAGGGTCCCAAGGCCTTGGGCCGTCCTCGACTGCTTTCCCAGGCCACAAGCAGGGAGCTGGATGGGATGCAGGTCCACAGGGATACAAACCAGCACTCATTTAGGATCCCGGTGCGTTCAAGGCAAGGACTTTAGCCACTAAGCTATCAAGCCTGGCCCAGGTGATCCTTCTTAACTTCCCAAACCCAGGGACCTTTATATTTAAATGAGGCAAACAATAAATTATTATTATTAGAGAGTTTTTGTGACCCTGAATTTAAGTTATAAGTTCAAATTCATGCATGTATCTTAAAGTTGAGGTTTCTTGTCTAGCTGAGTGTTAAAGGTGAACAGTAGACAATCTATCTGAAACTATAAGAGCTAAATACTGCCAGGAATGACAAGCATGAGCAAGTGCAATTCACTGAGTGGTTACTATGTGCTAAGCACTTTTACATGCTTCGTCTCATTTAATCCTCAAAACCAATGTATGAGGAAGGTAGCCCCTTTTTTCATAGGGGGAGAACAAGGCAGAGAGGGATGAGGTCATGTGCCCAGTGCCACACGTGTGAAAAGGAAGAGCCAGGCCTGACTGATCTCAAAGCACATGCCCTCTCACACTTCCCATCCACTGTGAGGGCTGGTGATGATCTGGACTTTGGAATCTGCTGGGTACCAGTGTGTGGACATAGTAGAGGAGCCTCTCATGGCATTGTTGGAGTGGAGAGCTGAGTCCACCCAAACCCATCATTTTATGAAGTCACCTGCATGATTCCACACCCAAGATCCCCAAGGTGATGTGATTGCTGAAAAAATGACATGAACTGTAGCCAATAACGTTACAAATCATTCCACTCACAGGAAATTTCCATTAACTGAGTAACCCCGTGGAACTGCGTGTATTGAGTATGGCACCCCTGGACACCGTCATGGGCACCGAGGTAGCTCTCATTGAGTTATCTTAGAAGGACACAGCAGATTGAAAAGGGAGCATGCAGTCGGGTTTCAGCTCCAGGCGGAACCTGTGGGTGTAATGCAACAAAGAGGCTGAATCTGAAAAATAACAATAAAATGCTCGGAAGACAGCTAGAGAGTGCTTTGGAAGCTGTTGCTTTTGGATTGAGAACAGGAAGGCCTGGTCCAAGGGCTTGTGGCAGATGGTGTAATGTCAGATGATGAGCAAAGGCGAATTTTCAACTCTCAGCTTTTCTGTTTTCTCTGTCAAGGAAAACGGTGCTCGATCTAGAAACTTTAAACACGTATCTAGAAGAAGGAATTGAATCTGGAGAGGTGCTGTGGAAAACTGTTACCTCCTTTCCGGAGTTGCAAGGCTTGCAGGGCTCATGAATGTGGTGCATGTTGTGGAGCTTGATTTCAGAAAAGTAATCTCTTATAAAAGCCTCTTAGCATTGATAAGTAGACAAGATTTAGCAATGTGGGCTGCTGATACCAGTTTGGTGTATCTAGAGCCAGCTTCACCCAGGGCTGAGGAAGATTCCCAATGATGGGCCAGTTGGTTCTGTTCCTGATCCAGTCCCAGCTGGGACATTTCATTGTTCAGGCGCACATCAAAGGGCATAGGATGCCTATGTGTTATCTGCAGAAACCATAGAACTAGGAGACATACATCAGCTAGAGAAAATATTCAGGAAAAAAAAAAAAAGAAAATATTCAGGAAATTCCTCCATGGCCAAAGGAAATAAGATGACACTTTAAAAATGCTTATAAAGAGGCTGGCTCTGTGGTGTTGTAAGCTAAGCCTCTGCCTGGGGCACTCGCATCTAGTATGGGCAACAGTTCAAGTCCTGGCTACTCCACTTATGATCCAGCTCCCTGCTTGTGTCCTGGGAAAGCAGTGGACAATGGTCCACGGACCTGGACCTCTGCATCCATGTGGGAGACCAAAAGAAGCTCTGGTTCCTGGCTTCAGATCAGCTCAGCTGCAACTGTTATGGCCATTTGGGAGGGAAATAGCAGATGGAAGAATTATTTCATTCTGTTTCTCTCCTCTCTGTAATTCTGCCTTTAACATGTTTTTTCATTAAATCTTTTTTAAAAGATTCATATGAAAAATTTTTAAATGTTTATTTCCATCCACTTAAAAGGCAGATTGACAGAGGAAGAGAGGAAGAGAAAGAAAGAGAGGATCCTCTGTTTTCTGGTTTGCTCCCCAAATTAACTAGGCCACCATAGCCTAGAACCTGTAACTCCACCCAGGTCTTCTACATGGATGACAGGGTACCAAGTGCTTGGGAGCTCATCCACAGATTTGTCAAGGAAGTGTTAGCAGGAAGTTGGATCGGAAGTGTTAGAGTCAAGCTGGCACTCTGAAATGGGATTCAGGTGTCTCCAGTGGTGGCTTACTCTGCTGCACTACAATGCCTGCCCTGTAGCATAAATCAGTTCACAAATAGAATATGAAGGCATCAGACTGAACCATCGCCCTTGTGGAAGGACCAGAGCTTATGTACAAGTTAATAGGAGCTACAGTGAAGAAGAGCTGCTTAAAAAAAAAATGTCTGCACTTCCTGTGCGTGGAATGAACATGTGTGAGGATCTCTGCCTCAGGGCTGTGCAACGTGTCTAATTCTGTACTTTCAGATCAAGCTTGGAAAATTAGATAGCAAGCAAAGGTGGGCAGCCTTCGTATGGCAGACCATCTAGAGGGGCTGACAATGAAAAAAAGCCACGCTTCATGAATTGTGAGAACTACCTTCCAGTATCTGAAGATCTTTTGTCTAAAATAGGTGGTTATGTGTTCTGTATTTTCCTGAGGAGGGAAAAATTGGAATCAGTGATTGGTGACCCAATTCACTGAAGGTTAATAGAAAAATTTTCAATACAAGAAGTACATAGCCAAGCAGAGGGGTTCCCCACACAGCAGAGAATTGTAACCGAGACAGAAAGAAGTGGAGGGAACATCTGCATTGTCTCTCACCTGGACCATAAAATTATACAATCTGGACATCACATAAAAATCACTTGGAGTCCCAGTTTTCTCGCAAATGACAAGGTGATCAAGGAGCCAGGAAGAAAGGGAAGGTAATTGTTATGTATTTCTTGTAAGTAATATGCCAGATGCATTATTTACCTTACACAATGAGTAGAGGGAGGGAGGGAAAGATTCGTAGAGCAGCCGAGAGCATGGGTTTGGGCTAATACACTTGAGTTCAAGTCCTACCTCTGATGCTCACCAATTGGTAATTTGGGCTCTTTGAAGCTTTGCTTTTTTAAACCTCTGCTTCAACCATTGAGTGGTGATGATAAGAGAATCTGTGAGTGAGTTTTTGGTGAGGATAAAGTGAGAAGCTGTGTCTAAGGCCTGAGGCTCGTGGTCTGATGCATGATCAGCGTAGCTCATTATTGTGTTATGTGGATGTAGTATCATTCCAGTTTAACCAGGGTTTGAAGCCTGGTCTCTGAGATATGAAGCAGCATGCACAGGGTCAGACAACCCTGCCTACCTTGTTTGTTTTGCCCTCTGCCTATGGGACCTTCTAGTACAAATTGAGCTAGAATGCCCCTGCCACCCATGTTATCACTTCAGGGTCAGAAAGTCCAAATTACCTCTCTGTTACTACTTCTCAAATATGCCCAGATTTTAAATGTTTTTGTATCCAAACATTTAGTATCTAATATTGAGTGTCTAAGAAGCCCTGCCAGTTTGCTCATGATTGTTCTGTTTAGGAAAGGTCATAATCAAAGTTGTAAGAATATATGGGTCTAGCTTTCTCCACATAAAACTCAAAAAACGAATAACATTATTTGCTGCGAAAATGAAGACTGCCACATTCTTGTTTGATCAACTCTGACTTGGTTTCCCCTGCCCCATAAAGAGAGTCACTGGCAATATGAGTTCTCCCTAAGTATCTGGGTTGGTGGTGATAGGAGGAAATGATAGCCAGCAGCCAGCATTGCCTTGGGTGGACATTACAATGTATAGATACCTAAGAATCTTAGAAAGACTGAACAAGCAGGCAGACTTGGATCCACTGTGGCAGAGCATCATGAAGGACACATAACCCTTAGAGCTGAAGTAGTCATGCCCTAAATGCCCATTGAGATCACTGCCCCTCGCCCCTCCCCAGCATGCACAGGTGGATTTGATTTATCATGCCCATGACCTCAAAGCATCAACAGGGTGTCAGGGAATGGCTGCCTGCTGGGCCCTTCTCGCTACAAACATGGGCTGCCAAAGTGGCTCCAAAGCAGTTTGATTATGGGGAGAGAAATGCCAATCTAACCCATTTGCCTTTGATTTCTTAAGCAGATTCAGGCACACAGGATGAAACACAGCTTTTGCAGGAATGGTTACAGCTGGCCCTGGAGAAGAATACATTAATGCGATACGAGAAAGAACTACTGATCATGTAAGTCAGGCAACACAGGTAACCATACGTCCTAGAGGCAGAACGGGGAGGGCAGAGTGGGGGATGGCTCACCCTCCTGGGTTGAAGTCCCACGATTTTTTGTCCTTGTGCATACAGAGTAGTGATTGAAGCAAATTGCTATTTTATGACTTGCATATCATGCTGGCATTAGTACAGAGTCTTCCGTTTGTTTTCTCTGTGGAGTCCAGTGTCTAATGCAGATTTCAGGAAATGAATCTGCAGCTGGAAGGCCTTTGGATAAAGCATTTCCAGTCTATCCCTGTTCCCCACCCTCACCTCCCCCCCCACCCTGTCCTGGCCCTTGTTAAAATATCGGTAGCCGACCAGCAGCAGGGAGGGCTGTGTCTGGCCCTCTGAGGGGAGTTGTTGGAAGTGTTGCATGAGGTGTACCTGGCTGCATCCTCTGGCTTTCAAGGAATGAAGGCCTGAGGTCTGTGGCCCTCTCCTCTTGGATGAGGATTGCAGATCTTAGATCTGGCTGGGAGATCAGAAAGTAGAGAAGGAGTCCTCCCACTCCCTGGGACAGCCCAGAGTCCACATCTCTGACCAGGGTTGAAGAAAGAGCATGCTAGCAACAGACAGAAGGGGTCCTCTTTGGGAATTATTTGTTCCAGTACTAGTTTTGAGTTGACCAAGTTCAGTGAAGTGGGTTTTTTTTACATCAGTTCTTCAGACAACCATGTTGTGTGCATTAGGGCCAGGTCTGGATAGCTCATCAACAAATAAGCACATCTAGGATACAAGGAACTATCCTTGGGTCTGTGGAAATAGAGATGATTAGGGCCGTGGCCCATGTCTTCTGGGGTCTTGTAATTTCAGGAGACTTACAGGCAAACACAGTGCAATAGTCAAAAGAGAACATGGCAAGACTCCTCAGAGGTGTGTAGGAGGAGCTGGATCAGTCTACGTGGGAGAGCCAGCCAGGTGGTGGCTGCCACTGCCGTTGTGTAGTGAGTGCAGCTAGCCCAGGAACTGTGCCAGGATTTATCTGCCAGAAGAGGTCATGTGGGAGAACTCAGGCGAGTGAACCGCACACAGGCATGTTGGAACCGGGTGGAAGGATAGATTTTAGTGTGGAAAAGGGCCAAAAAGGACAAAGAGAAATGTCTTGGACTGGTATGTCTACCCACATCTTTGGGGAAGCAGCTATGCCAAGACAGAATTAGAAGTACAATAGATTTACTGGGGGTGGTACCCGTTAGGGAGAAAAGGAAAAGGAAGCAGATATGCAAGGGAAGTCTTCAGACTCCACTGTAGTTTTGATATACATTGTGTTTCTCTTTTCTGAAATGCTTGGGACAAGCTGGGTTTCAGATTTCAGAGTGATTTTTGAGTTTGGGAAGATGCACATAGACTTTATCAACAGAATAGGCTAAATCCAAAAATCGAAAATCTGAAATGTTCTGCCTCTCACTTAAAAAAAATTACTAATTTTTGTTGGAAAGGCCAACTTATAGAGAGGAGATCCAGAAAGATCTTCAATCTGTTAGTTTACTCCCCAAGTAGCCACAATGACTGGAACTGAGCCAATCCGAAACCAAGAGCCAGGAGCTACTTCCAGGTCTCCCATGTGGGTGCAGGGTTGCAAGGACTTGAACCCATTCTCCATTGCTTTCCTGGGCCATAAGCTGGGAAGGGAAGTGGAGCATTCAGGACATGAACTGGCACCCAAATGGGATCCCAGTGCTTGCAAGGGCAGGATAACCAATTGAGCCATCGAGCTGGGTCCTACTCACAACTTTTGAGCATTATGTTAGCACTCCAAAAAAATCTTAGAGTTTGGGGGACTTTAAAGTTGAGGTTTTTGGAGTAGGGATGCTGGAACAGAGGAGAGGAAGGAAAGAGAATGGAGCAGAGGCTGTGTCTCTCTGAGACAGTGCGGGCCAGGCCAAGGGGAGCATGAGAGCAAAGCTCACCTGTAGAAGGCAGGAAGGCCCAGCTCTTGTACCTGCGCTCTGCTCAGTCACTGTCTGTGTCTCCTGGAGAGAGTGTGGCCTTTGTCTGACATTGGAATGGATCTGTAACAGCAGTCAACTGACACCACTCCTCCCAGGAAGTTCTGTCTTGGGGAATACCTGAGCATTGTACTTCTCATGGCTACCATGGAGGAGCCAAGAGAAGTTCATGCCAACACCAAAAGGCAGAATATTGAACAGGGCAGTGTCCTTGACCAAATAATAAAAATAATGGCAGTAACAGGGTATGCCAACAGGGTGGCCTCAACATTCATTGCAGATTCACATACACACTTCAGGCAGAGTGGAAGGGAAAGCCGTACCAGGTCAAACCCAGAAACCCAAACAGATGATCTCGCAGAGGTGAAGGGTGAAATAACAGCTATTTCACTAAAGGATTTCACTGCTTCACTTGGAAGGATTAGAGGGGATAGGGAAGGTTTGGTTAATCAGTGCAAAGATGTGGTTTGATAGGAGGATTAATTTCAAGTGGTATATAGTATAATATGGGCTAGCTATGGTTAACAATAATTTAGTGTATATTTACAGAGAACTAGAAGAGGGAATTCCTAATGCTTCCAGCACAAAGAAATGATCAGTGTTTGAAGCGATGACATGCGAATTGCCCCGACGTGGTCATGACACACTATATATGTGCAACAAAATACACCATACTCCATGGAGATAAGCAATTGTGTGTCCTTCCTACAATGGTTTTTTTTAAAGTTTATTTCAGTACCCCAAAATTGAAAGCTATGTGTAGTTTTTTTTATAATTTGCATCTTCTGTAAACTTTGTAAAGAGACTCTGTTCTCAGCTCTCACCCTCTTTGATGTCTCAGTTGCAGTGAATATCAGGGACCTCCTTCTTTTCTCTTAGTTTCTGTGTTGCTGCATTTCTTGCTTTCATCCTTTTAACCACTGGGTTATTTCTTCCTATTATTTCTAGAGCCATCTCTCTTATTTAACTTCTAAGTATAGTTATTTTCAACCCTCTTCGTTGTCTTTTTGCCTCTCTTTAGAGAGTATATAAACTCAGCTGTCATCTCTGATCATGGTCACAGCTGTGTGTGGTCCTCATTTCCCTGGCAACTCTAGAGTGGCATTTTGGAGCCTCCCCATCCTGGTGTGTGCTAGCACCTAGGGAGCTTTCTCTCTCTCTCTCTCTGATACAGATGAGACAGTTCCAAGCATCAAGCATTTTAGTTCCCAACAACCTAGGCCAAGAGCCAACATCACCTCTTGACCTGGCTTTTCCTCATAGTGAAAACATGGAGTCTTCAGCACTTGAACTTGACCTCTGCAGTCTGACTGACGGTTCCTTCCACATCTCTTATATCCAGAGGGAGGCTGTCTGCATTTGGCTGTCTGTATCTGCACAGAACTTGTCATGTTCATGTCCTTTTTGTTTTCTTCTTTATCACAAGGAGAGATTTGGGAGCTTCTAAGAGGTGATGCTTAGGGTCCTGTTGTTGGTACAAGAAAGAGGAGTTGGAAATGTGTGTCCCTTCTCCCCCAGGATTATTCTAGATATTTCTTCAGCATTCTTCCCACCTCCAGCCCTTTCCTAAAGGGTGGCCTGGAGGACCTTCCCTAGGCTGCCTACCGACGTCGTGGCACCACCGGCCACTGCCTGCTGCTGTCTCTGAGGCTCAGCATAGCTCAGTGCTCCCTAGGTCCCTGCAGGGATCCCAGCAGTGGCAGAACTTTCAGTTTAAGGAGATCCAAAGACCCTGCTCGTAATAAGGAAAGAAAGAATGCAGTCACTCCTGTCAATGGGGTAATTTATCCATGATGCTGCACAAATCCCCAGGACTTACAAAATGTGAATGCCTTCTCCTTCCAGGGCCCGAGAACTAGAATTAGAAGATCATCACAGCAGACTGCTGCAGAAATTCCGAGAGAAGATGTTCAAGGATGGTGAGTTTGGGGATGTATTTTGGATCCTTCTTGAAGACTTTTTGTTGCCCTAAAAAGGCACCTGAGCAGAACCTGTGGTAAAGTCTGGAGCCTTCCTGCCTTGCAGGACCCACCAGGCAGGCAGGGGATAGTTCCCTTTGCTCACCACAAACACGGCAAGCCTCTACTTAGCTTCATTCACTGGGGTAGCAAGGGCAGTGTTGCCCACCATCTCATGTGTCAGTGGGAGTAAAGTCATATTTTCACTGGGATATTCACCAATCCTTCCATTCATTTATCAAACATCTATTGAGACCCTAGTGTGGACTGGCATATGGTGAAGAGTAAGCCCAGTCTTCTAGGAGTTTGTGGTCTTACTGGGAAGACCAGTGACTGGAGTATAATAATTGTACAGGGAGCTACAGACCATAGCACAGGTGTTTTGGGAGTGTAGAGGAAGGAAGATCTGGTTCTACCAGACTGAAGGGATGGTGATAGACACCATCTCATGATGCATTGGACCAGGGCATCACCAGGGAAAAAACTATCCTATCGCTAAGGAGGGAGAATGGCAATGAGCTCAATGGTCAGCGTACTGTTGAATGCTCTTACTGGCTCCAGCCAATGCACGTGTTCACTTCTGCCTCTCTTCATAGGGCCAGATCCCATATGGGATCCCATATTTAAATGATGTCCCAAAGGATAGGTTACCAATGTCATTTTTACCTTACAGAGCTAGCTGTGTGACCACTGTATGGGGTTGCCTGGGCGAGCACTGAGTAACTATTAGAAGTTGTCATCATTTTTATTTAGGTATTCTTATCCCCATTTTTACAGATTAAAACATTGATTCTCTAAGAACTTAAATAATATGCCCAAGGTAAGTGATAAAGCTGACTTACAAACAGAGAAGATTTTGGCTTTCTTATTCTTTCTCTATGGTAGTGATTTGCCAAATATTGCTTCTCTACAGCAACAGCATTCTTGTCCAAAATCCGTATAGACTCATGTATATAGGACAGATAAAAGTAAAATATACCATCTTCTTGTTAAAAGGAACTCAGGTCCACTTGTAAGGAGACTCCACTGAGAGAAATGCTTACTCTTCTTGCTTATTAAATAAGGAGAACCAATAGTGGGATATGCTCAAGGTAGCAAAACGTAGTGTGCAACTCAGATCTCATTTATCCAATAGAAAATGTAATTGACTTTGTTTCAGGATAGTACAATAAATACCACGAAGAACTTTCTAAGCCATATTTCGCTGTGTTTTAACTCTTACCAAGGAGTATCATACATACATTTATTTATTTATTTATTTGTTTATTCCTCTCCAAGTATCAAATAAAAGTGTAGCTGCATCATTGAGTCCCTTAGCTCCTCTTGCATACCTGTTTTTCCCCACTAGTGAGCAAGGAAGAAGAAGAAGAAAAAAAAAAAGCCCTGTATCCTTCTCAAATAAACTTAGTCTGATGCAATCATTTAAAGCCACCAATAGGAAATGCTTGGTCTCTTTGGGATAAAACTTCAATCTTGAGGTTTGCCACCGTTTCCTCCTGCAGTTCTCCCCAGGGGCACTGCCAGGCAATGAGGAGAGGCAGGCATGTGTGGCTGCTTAAAATTAGGAAGCTGTACAAGGTGCTCTAACTTCCGGAGTTTCCCAACCCATATCCTGTCTCCCATCACCCAGCTGCCACTTTCTGCTAGCCCCTGTAGCTAAGGAGTGTGGCTGGTGTAACCTATCTCCTACCAATCTCTTGGTACGGTTGGAGTCTAGTGACCTTCCCTAGTTCACTCAGCCTTGTCTCCATTCAGCGTGGACTTTGGACAACTTTGGGACATGTGGGCATATCCAGGCTCCAGCCATGCTATGCCCAGCAGGCGGAGACCCTTCTTGGCCAAGCCACTTCCCTACGCCTACACATGTGCAGCCCTTTCAACTGGCTTCTTCCCACAGAGCCAAAGGGTGGCATGGGGTCTCGGGGTTCTCCTGGTGTTATACACATCGCCTGCCCCCTTAGGGACTTCCAGGGTCCAGAATGGGGAGAACAGGAATACAGAGCTCCCCCTGTTGGCCTCTCCTGCCTCTCTCTTCCCACTCCCATAAAGCCTGAGGTGCAACAGGACTGTGCTTCACCATTCCCCATTCCTCCCATCCACATTCTTTCTAACCCGGACCTCAGAACTCAGCTTGCTGAGAAAGAGTGTGCCTTCTCAGCGCCCACTTTCGGAGTGCTAGGAGGGAGAAGCCCAGTTCCCAGTGTGTTGGATTGGAGAAAGCAAAGGAATTCAGGAAGGCTGGACCCAAGGCCATATCTGTTCAACAAGACTGAAATCTAACTGTGAAATCCTGTTTTGAGGGTCAGAACACCCTCACTTCCTGTTTGTGTCTTTTTACCCTTTCCCTTCCTTTTATAACAAAGCTGCTTTCCCCAGGTAGTGAGATACCCTGGGTCAACCATGAAGAAGGGCAGGCCCTGAGAAAAGTTCAAGGGATGAGCCGAGTGGGTCTGGGAAGCTCCATCCTGTTGGGCAGCTGTGGCCTCACTGTGCTTTTCTGTGATTAGCTGTGGCTTCTACCAACAAGGCTATAAATGAAAAAAGGGATTCTTGTTGTTGAAATAACAGCACTGATGCAGATGGTGGAAATCAGCCTTTGCAGTGTTTTGTTAATTTCTTTTTTGAGCGGGAGGCAAGGTTGGAGCACTTGATAGGCTCGGCTGACATTCACTGCTTTCTGTCGCCAAGGCATCCTCTCCTGTTGCTGCATCTGACTCTTCATGATGAAATCTGAGCCAAGCCCCTCACAAAACACGCACCTTTCTAATCTGTGGCTTGAAGGGCAGCTCCTTGGTGCTTAATTCCTTGTCCTTGTTCTCTGCATTGAAATGAAAGCTCAGAACAATCCACATGTCCTTGCCAAGAGCTTTCCTGGGGCCCAGTCTTACCCAAGGCCCACTGCATCTCTTTTTTTCTTTAGAGAACCAGAAGGACGAGAATGATCTAATTGAGGAGCAAGAAATATTCACTGAGATGATGCAAGTGATCGAGCAAAGGGACAGGCTGGTGGACTCCTTGGAGGAACAGCGTCTCAAAGAGAAGGCCGAGGACCAGCATTTTGAGAACTTTGTGTTCCCCCGGGGCTGTCAGCTGAGCAGGACATGAGGAGGTCCCATCCCTGGAAGCAAGCTGTACACTGCACCCTTTGGAGGGACCTATCATGCCTGGAATTTGAGTTGCACCCTACTACATTATGCTTGTAAACCAGAATTCTCTCATGCACACAACAGCTCTCCAGGATCATTCCAGAGAGACGAGGAAGACGAAAACACAAAGACCCTTGATGCGGCTGCCAACGTAGGCTAAGCTGTCAGTGGAGGCGTCCCTGGCAAATGACCAACATTGTTCCCATCAAGTGACACAGAGAAGTGGCTTTCCTATGACTTTTGTCATCTTCCTTCCCAATTCATTGAGTTACATACTCAGAACATTTTAAGAAGCTGCCTGTTCATGACTATATCCCTATTTGCCTTTTTTTTTTTCTCGTGGATGACTGGTTTCCAAATGTCAAAACAGCAGAAACCATTTAAAGATTAGGTTAATATTTAAATTGTGTTTCCAGAGAAAGAAGAGAAACTTTGAGATTACTGATTACACAAAGCAAATAACTAGTATAGCAGGTGCTAATTCAATCCAGGACAAATTTAATTTACCAGGTGTATTTATAAGCCTTAATAGAATATACATCAGCAATAAGAGTTTAATAGAACATTTGAGCCTTAATTTTATTAAAGAGGGAAAAGGAAATCTAACTTGAACTTCATGCCAGCAGGATTGTTAGTTTTCACCAAATACTGTAGCTTAAAGGAGCCTTTGTTCACACACTGCCCTCCTTGTAGCCCCTGCAACATAATAAGTGTTTTGAGAAACTGAATGATTTTGAAGGGCTTTTTTGGTAAGAGCTGCTGATGGCCAAAAGGGAAACTTTCATTTGTTGGTTAAACACGGGTGGGGGTGGGTGGGTTCTGTTACTCCAGAGGAATGAAGAGCAGTGCCAGATGAAGAATGCTGCTCGGTGATGGTCTTCTGAGCACCTGGCAGGGACAGGTTTCCAACTCCAGGGATTGCCAGGAACTGCACAGGACAAGGGCAAACCTGCCTCTGACTTCCTGGAAGAGCGGAATACAGGGACTCCAGCTACAAAGCTCCCAAATAGGTCGTGGAATTTTAAAAAATAATATTTCTGATCTGAAAAGAAAGCTGGGAGCTGGAGATTGTGCACCACCACATTGGCGATTCTGGGATTTGGGGGAGGCACTTTGAGACCAAAGAAGAGAAGATTGCAAATGGTGATATGTTGTCCTAAGCACGGGGTTTGTTGGCCCTCCATGGGATTCTTTGAAAAGCTAGTCTGTTACTGACAAGATAGAGGCAGCTGGTCTTATTTCTGTGTTTGAGTTTGTCATCATACAGAAGGTACCTTGAGACTCTCAGCTCTGACTTCAAGGCCACATTTTTCTCAATGACCTTCTTCCTGACATGGTGTCCATGACACTGATTTGGCCAGCTGGCAGCCAGGATTTAAATGTGGATGGTCTTCCCCCTGAATCTGCCAATTTTGGATGTAAACCCAAGCTTGGGGTTAGTATACCATGTTCCAAAGATTGGAGTTCTTTGTTTTTTTTCTTTCATCCCTCCCTTCCTTCATCTCTTCCTTCCATCCTCTATGCACTTACCTACATGCCAATTTCCTTACCTACTGATTTAGAAAAACTGCCACTTTTCTATTTATCTTTTATTTATTTGTATATTTTGTGTGAATTGATAATATGATTTTCTCCTAATTCTGCCTTTTCTGTGTTATAATTTGGACATGACCTATTGTCACTAAGATTGATGTATAAGCTATTTGATATACAAAAAACTCAGGTGTTTAGGAGCAGTTGTATAGTATTCAAGATTGAGGGAGAGAGACAAAATAATATGCTTAGCCAACAGACATTTAGAAATAAGCTCTAGTACATTCTGAAGACCGATGATGTTGAGAACTGGACAGCACTTCACTGTCCCACTAAAGAACACCGGTGACTGTGATCAGGGTTAAAAAAACCTGATGGTTCTGAAAGGAACAGAAAGGCCCAAGCTTGGATTGTATTTTCGCTCAACTCATGCAATGCCTATATTAGCCAAAAGGGCTTAAGGCAATAAAAAGGTCAGGATTTTACTGACATAGGACTGAAAGGACAGTTTTTAAGCTTCCTCTTCCGAATCTTCCATTTGCAGATCTATTTATTTAGAATGCCCATTGGGTTCTACAGTTCTGTGATAAAGACTGGCACACATAAAGAATTCTTAACCACTGCTCTACCTCCAAGTAAATACAAAAATCAAGAAATAAGAACCTCCCCACACAGAGATAAGTTTATTTTTTTTTCTTTATCAGCATCAGCCTATTTCCCTCATGTTCATGTCAAGCATGAAGCCTTTGCTCCCATACCATCCTAGAGTTCCTTTGGCAATAAAAAGAAGTTTGTGTTTCTAAAACTGTGAAAAAAATAATATCAAGTTGTATTGTTTCATTTCAACCTTGACTTCGGCAGTGTGAGGCTGTTTGACATCAATCAATGCCGAGATGCAGCATGTTAATTGTGACTGAGAAAGGAAGTGGCAGGTGTTTCCAACGCTGATGAGCTGCAATGAAATTGATGTTTGCTGCATACTGGAGGCAAATGACAATTCAGCAACGTCCCTCTTCCCAGGAAGCAGATTTACAGGCTTTTTCTTCCAGACTGAAAGTGGCAGCATGCCCCAACCAAGTGGTTATCAGAGAACCACCTCAGCAGGGCAGAGGTGGCAGGGAGCAGCCGGAGCTGCCACGGGAGTGGGGAGAGAAGCAGTCATTGGATGTGGAGGGGTGGCGTAGGCCTAGGGGGTTATTGTCAGGAGAAGAAGGTTCACGAACGGGGGCAGAGAACTAGTCCACCTACTGTTTATCTTTGAACCTCACTGCAGACTCGCTTGTGAAAGATGAATGTGCACCAGGCCCCGGCAGCCAATTGTGCAGGCGAAATGTGGGCTGTATGCACCGCTCTGCATACTGAAACAAACCCAAAATAAATGGCTTTGTGTGTGTTTCAAGAATCAAAATATTTTCATGTGGGCCCGGCCTGACTCTTTTTTCCATGAAAGGACCTGGATCAAGCTTTGATTCAATGTGGGAAGCTGTGGGATGCTAGATTCCCCCAGGGGTACCTGGTAGGACTTACCTGCCTAACAAAATAAATTTGAGCTGGAGGAGAAGGAGCAGAACTCACATCAGGTGTTTTATCTCAACAAAGAAAGTTGTTATGGCTGGAGAGGAGCAGGGAGGAGTGGGGAGTGGGAGCAGGCAGGCTTGGGCCAGTCCTGCCTCAGTTTTGTTCACCTCCTTACCTGGGGTGGGCTGGTTTTGGATTTCTGTTGCCCACTAGGAGCTCTCCCTTCAGCACAGAGCTGGCCCTGTCCTTCAACGCACATGTGTGCCAAATCAGGTTTGTTTGCCTTCTTTTCCTTACACCAGTACATGGAAGGTAGCATATCTCAGCAGGTCATGCCCCAGAACTGCTGCATGAGGTTCACCAAGAAGTCAGGCCCTGAGCCCCCTGTCAGCCATGTAAGTTTCCATTATTGTTTGAAAGCATTTTTTTCTTTTTCTAAAGATTGATTTATTTTTATTGCAAAGTCAGATATACATAGAGTAGAGACAGAAGAGCTTCCGTCTGCTGATTCACTCCCTAAGTGGCCCCAACAGCTGGAGCTGAGCTGATCTGAAGCCAGGAGTCAGGAGCTTCTTCCAGGTCTCCCATACAGGTGCAGGGTCCCAAGGCTTTGGGCCATCCTCCACTGCATTCCCAGGTTGCAAGCAGGGAGTGGGATGGGAAGCGGAGCCTGCCAGGATTAGAACCTGTGCCTGTATGGGATCTCAGCACATTCAAAGCGAGGACTTTAGCTGCTAGGCTACCTTGCTGGGCCCAACAACATTTTTTCCTATTCAAACCTTTGAAACAGTTCATGCTCCTATTGAGTATCAGTGAAAAATATATACCAACCAGAGAACGTCGAAAAGTTCATGGAAAAAATAAAGGATGATTGTTTGAATGCAAAAAAGTTTTGACATGTATGCAGTTTTTTAATGATATGCATTTTCATGATATGCATGTTTTAAAGACTCATTGTATACATAGACTCCAATTTTTTTCCCTAAAGATTATTTTATTTGCAAGTCAGAGTTACAGGGAGAGACAGACAGATTTCATCCATTGATCCATTCCCCAGATGGTCACAACATCCAGAGGTGGGCCAGTTTAAAGCTGGGAGTCGGGAGTTGCCCTTAGGATCTCCAATATGAGTGCAGGAGCTCAAGACTTTGGGTCACTCTCCGCTGCTTTCCTAGGGCATAAGCAGGAAATTGAATCAGGAGTGGAACAGCCAGGATTAGAACAGATGCTCATATGTGATGTGGACACCATCAGCAGAAGATTAGCTTGCCATGCCAATGTGCTGGCTGCTGGACTTCAACATGGTTTGCACCAATAGAAGCTTACCTTTTAGTTCCATTTTCCACTAGCTTTTCAGAGTGCTCAGGTACAACTGCAGACCAGAGCTCCTGGTTGCAGCACTAAGTGCTGGGGGAAGAGCTCCGAGAGCAGCTGGCCACCTTTGAAGCATTTTACCTGGGCACACCTGCCCACAGACATGTGGCCTCTCAGCTTTTCCACACTTGTTTGCTGTAATTTACCATCTTTGGACTTTCAGGATGTGCTTGGTAATTCCACACTTGATTCCTCTCCCAGCTCATTTCTAAGGAAGAAAAAAAAAAGCAAACCTTGGCGCCACAGCTGCGCTGGGGAATCCCTCCATCCCTCATCTTAGTAACAGCAACTGTGAATTCAGCTCTTCTCACCTGCTGGGTGCTATAATGAGCTCTGCAGATGCATTATCCTGTTCCATCCTTAAAGTACCATCTAAGGCAGTGACATAAGGCAGTCCCCATCCTCAGCAGTGGTTAGACCCAGGAGTCAGGTTTTTTGGTGCCCAGGCCCCTGCCCACCAGACCACCTAGCACCATGCCTCATCCTCATTCCTTCCCTTCCTACCTGGGCTGCCCCCGCCACCTTCCACTGTTACGACAGTGCACAGCCCTCCAACCGTGGCACCTGGGCTCCCTTCCCAGCCCCGGAATAACAGAAAACGTTTCCCTAGTGACCAGGGGTACATAGTTGCACACATGTAAACAAACCCTAATCTGTGACTTGAAAACAGGAAAAAACCTAATGAGAATTCAACATTTTTAAAAAAATCCAAACAAGCTTAGGCTGAGGACCAGTGTCCCCAGCCAAAGAAAAAGATTTATTTATTTTTATTGAAAAGTCAGATTTGCAGAGAGGGAGAGAAGGACAGAAAGATCTTCCATCCGCTGGTTCACTCCCCAGGCAGCCACAACAGCCGGAGCTAAGCTGATCCAAAACTAGCAGTCAGGAACTTCTTCCATGTCTCCCACACGGGTGCAGGGTCCCAAGGCTTTGGGCCATCTTCCACTGCTTTCCCAGGCCACAAGCAGGGAGCTGGATGGGAAGCGGAGCAGCTGGGACATGGACTGGTGCCCATATGAGATCCCAGTGCATACAAGGCAAGAACTTTAGCCACTGGACTACCATGCCAGGCCTGAGATGTCAGCATTCTAACACAGCTGGAGCTGGGCTAAGAATTGCTCATCCAGGGCTCTGTTGCTCTCATTCCCACTCCCTGGATGGCTCATCGGTGGAATGAGGCTGATTCCATCCCTCCTTCCCTCAGTGCAGGAGCGGTCTGCTGTTTGTGGATGTAGCTGAAAGAAAATTTGTTCATTGGCAAGGTCATGGTGAATGCCAGGGTGTTCAAATCCCAACAATGGAAACAGAAAATAATACTTCTGTCTCAGCAGAACAGGTAAGAATGGATCCAAATGGACAGTGTTCCACCACAGGGGAAATGACGTGAGACACGAGGTCAGCAAATGTCCAGCTGGGAGCATTGCCCCCTCTGTGACTTACCCAGTTACCAGTCTCCATGTGGCCCCTCCACGGGGAGGCCTTTCTGAATGGGCCTATGTTAGCAACTTGTTAGATAAAAGGGAAAATACACAAGTCTATATTAATCACACAAAATTATAAAATAATGTCTTTGGGGGCTCAAATGACATAAACCAAAATAAGATTAAAAAAACACACTAAAAATATTCAAGTTGAGGAATGAATCCATGGAGTTAAGAATGCTACATTGCAAACAATGCATGGGAAATAAAAGTGCTGGACTTTGACAAAACAAGGATAGGGATATACTTTCTAGGTAAGCATTAAAAGAGCAAACAATGACTAACTACCGAGATAATGGAAAGAAAACTGGAGATGCGGCATTTAGACAGGTTTCCTAAATTACACAGATGGTCTGTGTTTGTCCTATTTAAGGCAACTTTCTTCTGTCTTTCTACTTTTATTTTTGCTGTGTTACTTTTTATTGTACACCTTGAAACTCAGGATAGAGGTAAGCTAGCCAGTCATCTCACAACCAGGTAAGGCAAAACAACAGCTTTGACTATGGAAAGGTATATTCCCTAAGTGTAGATCTAATACAGGCTGAATTGGGTCCTCAGAAACAAAAATTTAAAAATGCTGAAGTTCTCACAGCCAGAGCCCCAGAGGACCTTGCAGATGGAATAGCCTGCTGAAACAGTGAGGTGGGTTATCCGGGAGTCTGGTAAACACCTCATTTGATCAGACTGGTGTCCTTATGAGAAGAGGAAAATGTTCTTAGACATGCCTCAAGGGAAGACAGGGAGGTGAAGTCAATTAGATACATGGGTCATCCATTTGGGAGAGTGAACCAGTGGATAAAAGATCTCTAACTGCCTGCCTGCCTGCTTTCTTTCCTTCGTTGCCCTGCTTTTTTTTTTTTTCTCTATAAGGGGCAATAAGCCAAGGAATGCCTGGGAGTTCTAGAAGCAGAAGGCAGAGGAGGACCTTTCCCTTGAGTCACAGAAAATGTGATTCAAGCACACTCTGGTTTTGGACTTCTGGTCCCCAAAATGAATACTGGCATTCTAGTACAGCAGGTTAAGCCAAATCTATGATGCTGGCATTCCATGAGTGTTGATCATGTCCTGGTTGCTCCACTTCTGACCCAGCTCCCTGCTAATGTGCCTGGGCAAGCAGCGAGGATGGCTCTAGTCCTTCTGTTCCCGCACCCACGTGGGAGACCCAGAAGCTGCTTCTGGCTCTTGCTTGGCACTGGTCCAGCCTTGGTCATTGTGACAAGTTGAGGAGTGAACCAGCAAACAGGAAGACCTCTCTCTCTCCTAACTCTTTCAAATAAATACATAAAATCTCTTTTAAAAGGTATTAAAAAAAAAAAGAGACTTCACTCACTAAGGTTTTTTGGAAACATTTTCTTGTCTTCACCAATTCTAAACTGTGATGATGAGCCTTAGCCAGACCTAATCAATGAAAAGCCTGCTTTCATCCACATTCCATTCTGAATATTCCCTCTCTCCCTCGCCCATTCCAAGATACCATTAAGACTGCCAAGGCATGGTTCTCTTTGCTTCCCTCAACCCCCAGCTTATTTTGTAGTTGTTTTTCTGGGAGCCAGCACTTAACAATCAAATTGTTCTTCATATTAGTCCTGCTTAGTGGTTTTCCATGTATAATGAGCAACACAATCACCGAAGACAGTTGTATATGCAAAAGCATGTGTGGGCAACTGAGGGCGTCTGTACCAGTAATCCTGATGATTCCCTATTTAGGACTCCAGCCCCACGTATGGGTGTCAGCAGTGTGTGAGAGAACAGCCACAGGTAGTTAAAGCCAGAAGAAACCCTAAGTGCCCATATAGCGGTGAGGATCAACAACATGGAAACACCTGATATCATCTATTTAAAAAATATGCAGCCTTTGGTTTGTCTCACCCCAGGTCTCAGCTTGAGGACATTTGTAACAAACATGTGGGGCATGGTAAGGCACAGGCAGCTTGGAGAACGGCTGCTGTATTTCCATCACTTCCATTTGTCAGTGAGGGAATGGACGTGCAGGAAAGGAGTGACATTCCATTGATCTACACAACTCACAGTTTCCTGACAAGTGCTCTGGGGCTGCAGATCAGAGTTTAGGGATCTTCTTATGTGTCTGAGATAATCAAAGCAGATTTTTAGGGGTCAGAGGCATGGCACAGTGGGTTAAGCTGTGACACCAGCATCCCATGGGAGACTCGATTCCAGACCCAAACTGCTCCACTTCCTGTTGATGCTCCACTTCCATTGGGAAGGCAATGGAACATGGTCCAAGGGCGTGGGCCCCTACCACCCACATTGGAGACACGGATGGGAATCGCTGGCTCCTGGCTTCAACCTGTTTGTGGCTATTTCAGGAGTAAACAGGCATATGGAAGATCTCTCTTTCTCACTCTCTCTTTGCCTTTCAAATCTTTGTTTCGAAATACATTTTTATTTGGCTTCTTACCATGTCTTTTAGATTGGTGGTGGGGAAGGCAGAAGAGGAGAGAATGGGGGCTTATGGCAGTCCTCCCGCAGGGCAGGCCTAGTGACTTCTCTGCTTTCTGCTAGCTAAGAGGGCCCAACAAAAGTCTCATTTTCAAAAAGGGCAAAATTATGACCCTCAAACAAAGAGAAAACGAACCTGTACTCTGTTGAAACTCTACTGACCATCTTGTTAACTTGCAGTTCTGCTCAGGAATGATTACTTTACAATTTGCTGGTTAGCTCATGAAGGGGAGGGGGTCGTCAGGCAGCTTTATCCGCATCACCTGGGAAGACTACCAGGCTCCTCCCCAACCTGCAAGTGGGGCCTGCGGGAAGACTCAAGATTCAGATGACTGCTCCCCCAGGTTTTTTTTTTTTTATTATTATTATTTACAGGGCTTCCAGGGCACAACTTTCTCCCTCCATCCATGTGCTTCTCTACTTATCAGCATGCTCTGAACCCTGCAAGGTCATCAATGAAGTGCTCAATTTTGAGTAACTGTCTCTGCAGGCTAGTTGAGACGCCCACATTAGGGCGATCTGATTAGCCCTCAGGCAAGAGCTCCCTGCGGGTCTGGTGTGGAGCCACTGAGGAGGTAACGCAGCCCTCTGGGCTGTGTGAAAGGCAATACACCACGAGCAACCAGGCATGTGCCTGTGAATCACTTCCAGGATGGATCCCAGCCGCAGCTCATTTTGTACTGGCAGGATAAAGGGGGGAGGGGGAGCGTGTAGAATTAACAGGAGCCAGGAATGTTTGGGACCTTTCTCCCTGTGAGCTATCTGGATGTCTTGCAAGAATTAACGCCTCGCTCTGCTCTCCTGAACTTCAAAATTGCCAGTCTCCAGATGAGGTTGACTCCACGGATGCCTGCCTGCGGGAGTGGTCGTTTCCGTCCAGCCGGCGGAACCAGGGGTCTCAGAACTGTGCCTAGAGACAAGCTGGGGACCTAGCGCCACGGTGACTTCGGTTCAGATCCCCAGGTGTGCGCCCGCAGCCTGCATGCCCACCCGGGCCCACACACACACACACACACACACACATATATAAACAGAGAAGGCCTCAGCCCCACAATGGGGGCAAATTTGGGGTATCCGCCCCAGCCCCTAGCAGCTCTGGGACGCAGGACTGGCCGGGACGTGGGCCCCCAGGCGCGCATCGCCTTCCAGGGCGGAGGGCGGCGCGAGGGAGGGAGCGAGGGAAGGGAAAGGCGAGCGTGAGCTGCCTCAAATGCTTGGAATAATTCCGCTTCCGTTTGGAAAGCCGCAGCCTCAGTCCCGCCGCCGCCCGCCGCGTCCGCCCAGCGCCAGCTCCGCGTCCAGCCCGGCCCGCGGCTGCCCGCTCCGCCGCCATGGCTACCTCCCCGCAGAAGTCGCCATCTGTCCCCAAGTCCCCCACTCCCAAGTCGCCCCCGTCTCGCAAGAAAGATGACTCCTTCTTGGGGAAACTCGGAGGAACCCTGGCCCGGAGGAAGAAAGCCAAGGAGGGTGAGTGCCGCCGAGCCGTGGAAAAACGGCGCGGGTCTGGGCCGGGACGCCAAGGACCAGGCGGGAGCGCGCGGCGGGTGCCCGGCGCGGTGTGCGGCGCGCGCCCGTTTCCCCGCTACCGCGGGCGGGAGTGAGGCGAACCCCGCATCGCGGCCCGGCGCCCTGAGAAACTAAGGGCGCCTAGCTGTGGCCGCCCTGCATTGCTTTCCCAGGCCGGGGAGCAGGCCAGCGCGCCTGCGGGGCTGTGGACGCGCCGCGTGGAACCGGGAAAGCGGCGGGAGCAGGAGCCCAGGCCCCGACCCTGCCCGTAGGCTGCGTCCGCCGCTAGGCCCGTGTCCCCGCCCTTTCCGCGCCCTAAGGCTGGCATTTCCCAAGTTTCTGCGGAAACTTTTCCTGGGCGCCGTCATGCTCGCTCTTTGCCTTCATTGGTCTTTGAAATTGGGTCGTTTCCTGCGGAGTCCTCTTAGAGCAGCCTGGCCTTCCTGGCCTCTTTGGGCCTTTTGTCCACTCCCCAGGGATGTGTTGCTGGTGTTTTGGATTAGCTTGCGTTTGTTTGCTGCTTCAAGCGCTTGCGGAACTGGTGGTTCTGGCGGTCATGCAGTGTAGTAAATGGTCAGTGCTCACCCAAGGAAATCTGTGCTACTTACACATTTCACAAATGAGTTGTATCCCCCTCCCCCGTGAATGCTTGCCTTCAGGGCTTTGGCCCACCCCGTGAACGGAAGCGATCTTACTTTCCGCCCCCCCCACCCCGGAATAATTTGCATGTAAGATATTTGGCTGGCAGGTTTTGGTTTGAAAATAAGGCGGTGGTTCCCCAGAACACGGTAGTGACAGGCATGAAGCTACAAGGTGCTAGGTTAAAGTGGTTTTCATAGACTACTCGGTGTGTTGGGAGCAACCTCCTGGAAAGCTTTAATGCTGAGGGGTCAAGTTTTGTGCTTTTGAAGTATAAAGACTTTGCTGGGCATGAACAAGCTGGAGAGCTAGGCTTGGTTCCCCCTCCAAGATTGCCCACCACCCCTGTATGGTTACAGTAGTCCTTGGCTGTCCACCTGTGTGGAGAGGAGAGACGGGAAGTCTCACATGTTATTACTTAACCTTTGATGTTTAACTTATACATTAGGTGTGATTAGAGGTTAGTGTCTATAACTGCTCATTCTAGAAAAATGATAACAAGACTCTGTAAGGCATGCTAGGTGAATATGGGTTCTCACTCGCTTCCAGTGGTGCCCTCACACTTGCTGTGTTGCTGTGGGGTGCTGCTGCACCTGTGTGATGAGGTGATGTGAGATGACTGATGTAGGCGTTGTGATGGAGCATTAGGCCACTGCTAAGAGTAATCTGAATACAAGCGCCGTGGGGATACAGTGACGGTGAGTAACCCTAGTGAGTACTAAGTGGCCAAGGGGTGGGGTCACTTAGACACATTGGACACACTAGATAAGAGCTCATCCCAAGTGGGACAGCTCAAGATTTTGTCATGGCACAGCATAATACACAACTTAAAACTTGAGAATGTTTGTGGAATTTTCCAGGTTATGGCAACTGAAGCCAAGGACAGTGAAACCTTGTTCTACTCCAGTTTGGTAAACCACGGAGTAGTGTACAGTTGGTGGCAAATCACGAAATCCTGACTTGGAAAGGCCGACTCCTAGTATTTCCCTGTGGTTTGCTGGTGCAGGTTCATCCAGCCTGAGACTGGGCTCCAGAGCCCTCACCTACCCTGACCAGCTCTCTAGAAAAGTGGACTTCATATTTAGCCAGAAATTGATCTGTCTGTACCCCTGTTGGTGGAGCCAGGAGGATGACCCGGTGTGAACCTTGCATCTTTTGAAAGTTATTCTAGATGTGAGTTTAGGACCCTCTGGTATCCTGTCTCCAGTTGCAGTGGAGGTCACTGCAGGAAACTGAAGACCAACTTTGTTGAGTGTTTGAAAATAATTCAGCGAAGAGACTGTTGACTCAGTTGTGGGCATGGTTTAGGAAATTGAGGAGGGAGGTGGCTGCACCTGATGGCCAGCAACAGGTGGAAGCTATTTCTACCCCTGACCCAAGGGGCAAGGGAGGTAACCTGGAACCCGTATGCAGAGGGGCTCCCTGCCAGGAGCTGTCATTACAAGAAGGCATAGCCACCATGAGAAACACACAGATGGAGCAGGGAGAGTGGCTCAGGCAATATGTGTTCTCTCTCTCAGTGTCTGAGTCTTCTGCTGGGGTTTCTGATAGGCTACATCCCGTGGGAAGTTACCAAGACCAGGGAATTCCTGAGCAATATGTGGAGAGTGACTCCCTTAAGATGCACAGAGGGGAGGGGTCGTTGGACAACTCCTAACAGACCCTGTCACAGTGAGCTACTCGGAAGTCAGCTTCAATCAGTAGTCCCCCTTTGCAGAGCATGGCTGCCTGGCTCCCTCTAGCATAGCTGTGGTGTTCTGGTGCAGCTAAGGTTGCTTTTCTTGATGCCATCAGGCACCTCACCTGCTTATTGAGTTTGCTGTTGAATTTCTCAGATTTTCGTGTTTGTCCCTGTATCCTTGCACCCTTCCATACCTCAGATGTACTCAGTTGGGTGTTTGAAACCAAAGCTGAGATCCTGTTAAATAATCTGCAGCTGCAAATGGGTATGTAGAAGAGCTCCTGACTTCTGAAGGGATGGGTCACCATGCAGTTCCAGGTGCAGTAGGGTTGGTGTGGAATGACTTGCCTGAGTGTGTGCAGGGAGTGTCGGTGGCCAGTGCTGTCCTTGTTGAAGGCTCAGTAGGGTTGGGTCTTGTGCATCCAACACATGCTCACAGCCTTGGTCAGTACAGGATCTTTCTTCTCCTACTTTCCCTTTAGTGTTCTAGAACCTTCCATTCTTTGCAGTTCCCCAACTTGATGGATACTGGTCCACAAATTATCTCAGTGCTTCAGTAGAGGACTGTCCTAAGTACTCCTGTACATTGGTACCTGCTGTGTCCTGCTGAAGGACACAAAGTTTGGATAAACATACTACAGGCTGAGTATTCCTCATGTGTGAACTGCTTGGAATCACAAGTGTTTCAATATAGAGGTGGGTGTTTTTTGTTTTTTTTGGAAGATTTGCATAGACTTTAACAGGTTAACTTCTCAAATCTGAAATCTGCACTCTGAAAGGCTCAAAATCAAACTTTTTGAATGTGTCGTTTAACACATTTGGATTTGGAGCATTTTAGAGTTTGGATTTTTGGGTTAGGGTTGCTCTCTCCTATATATGTTGCTTGGACTGTTTAGGTCAGTAACTTCACATAAAACAGGCCCTTCCTACGGGTACCTACTACATACACGGTCCCAGTCTCGTAAGAATATGTTGCCCTTGATATCAGCCCTGAAGAAAAGGCAATGTCCCAGAAGCAAGGGAGACTTCTTTCTGATGGCTATGAGTTAGAAGGAGTGCCTTGAAAGCTCTAAATCTCTTGTTCCTTTGCCTATCAAATGGAAACAGATTCCTTTTTTTACATGGGGGCAAGACTTCTGAGAGTTCAGGTGCCCATACATTGCACAGCATGAATAATGCATAGCTATTAACATTGATGACTCAGTTTGAAACTGGCCTTGAGTTTTGATTATGGCCTGTAGAAGGTGCTACGGACCCTGTAAATAACATTATTGGCCCCTGTTATAGTGAAGAGTGTGGAATTGTTTTGATCCGGTTAGGAGTTAAGGGATCTTAGCATGCTCCCATTTATTTCCAGGATCACCTGTAAGCATTTAAGAGTAACTGAGGGGCCCAGGGTGGTAGCCTAGTGACTGAAGTCCTTGCCCTGAATATGCCAGGATCTCATATGGTCACCGGTTCTAATCCCGGCAACCTTGCTTCCCATCCAGCTTCCTGCTTGTGGCCTGGGAAAGCAATAGAGGACATCCCAAATCCTTGGGACCATGCACCTGCATGGGAGACCCGGAAGAGGCTCCTGGCTTCAGATTGACTCAGTTCCCACTGTTGCAGCTGCTTGGGGAGTGAATCACCAGACTGAAGCTCTTTTCTCTCTCCTTCTCTCTGTGTATCTGACTTTGCAATAAAATAAATAAATCTTTAAAAAAAAATCTGGGATCAGATATACTCTGGTATCTGGAATGGTGTGGCTGACAGGTCTTTGTTTTACTTTGTGAATTTTCTTTAGGACCACACCCAACACAAGAAGGAGACCCACTTTCCATCTCTTTTTCTAGATCTGTCTAACTTGTACTTCCCAGGTTCAGTCTTGAATGGGATCTTCCAGCTGGAGGCTCCCACGTCAGATCAGCAGTTGTGCTTATTCCTGTCTAAAATGTAGTTTTGGACTTTAATTTCATGATTCTCCTCTAAGGCTAGTATTTATCTTTTGGGCCTCCCTGGCTGTTCTCTGCTGGTGGGGGGAAAAAAATCCCCAAACCCTGCAGCAAATTAGTGGCATCTAGAATGAGTGGAATCTCAGAAGTCCTTTTGTTTTCTCCTGATCGGTTTCATTCACATTTTCCTATGTGCCATGTCCAAACTCTTACCATGCAAGCCCTTCCCCTGGACATGAAAATTAAGAACTAGGTTTGGGAAATTTTGAGTTCCTTTCCCTCTGTCCAGCCCTACCTGTACTTACATCTGTGCTTTCTTTCTTCCTGTCCTTGCGGCTTGTGAAGATGCCCCTTCTGTCCTTGCTCATGGGGTCATTTGCCATTCAGTCCCCACCCCCATACCTTTGCTAAACTAGGTTTCTTATATCTTACCTGGGTGCTTCCTGCCACTCTATCCCCCCTTTAGGTCCAGCCTAGAAAGGTTTTTGAGTCAAGACCTAAAGTAGATGAAGGGGAGTCAGATGTATGTTTTGGAAATGGAAAATGTTCAATGCAGAGACCTTGGGGTGGGAGTGAACTTGCATTATTGCTCTGGATCAGCGAGGAAAGTGTCCTGCTTGGCAAAGAGAGCTAGCACAGCTGTGGGAGGCCGAAGACCCCAGAGGTCTTTAGAAGGAGGGCTGGGCAGGTTGTGAAAGGCCCTGGAG